TTTAGTGACTTTTAGTTTAGTGTTTTCAATACATTTTTATTAACTATGTAATGTGTTGCTTTTGCAAGTCTACAGATGAATAAATAGAGATTTGGAGACGGTAGGAGCTTGCCCTAGAGAGGTCACACAAGTTAGGTGCTGGAGGGATAAGAATTAGATGTCAGCATGGCCTCCACAAAGCCCAGGCTTTTGGTACTAGCCACAATACTTCTAAATTTCTCTCTCCTGCTCCAACTACATGGCAACTGACCATTTTTAAGCACTTTCCATGTGGCTCTCAAGTTCCAGTCACAAAGACAAACAAAATATATCACCATTCTTAGATTTCCCTGATCTAGTTGTCAAGGTGAACTACAGAATATACTCTCTGCTGGGCATTCTTGAGACTCCTTCCCCTTTGATGAACAGAACATACAAGTGTCACAGGAATGTCCCCTCCACATAGAAGTACTGAGCACCATTGTATGTTAAGTAATATTCAGTGTTGCAGACACAGTCAGGAGCAAACCACATGCAGCTTCCCTTCTCAGGAAGCTCAGAGTTTGATGGAGAAGATGGAAAATAAGCAAACATTTGCCTGCTCAAGGATATTATGGAGAAAAATGCCCAGTGCTATCAAATATAGAGCAGAGGCCTATACTGACAGGAGAATGGGGTCAGGGCCATCAGAATAGCTTCCTGAGAAAAATGATATTCAACAGAGCTGAAGTAAGAAAGGAATCAACCAAGGGAAAGTTGCCAGCAAAGGATGCATAAGGGCCAAATGTCTAAACCCTAAAACTTTTGCTCAGAAATGGGAAGAAAACCAGGGAGACTAGGACATAGAAAGATAGGGGAAAGTAGCATATGAGAGCTGGGGACTCAAAAGGATTTCAGTCAGCCCACAACATTTGAGTATAATTTAAATTCTGATAGAATAGCAAAAATATATAACCTAAGGCATATTGTGAATTGAATAAAGTGTCAATACTCACCCTTTTCCTCTGTCAGGGAAAATGGACTACAATCTTCATCCCTAATTAACATTAGAGACAACCAGAATCTTTATTATTCACCAACTTGCTCCCACATACAAATAATTCCCAGCCTCTCCCACCCCCCAGGAGAAGCACTGATCTTTCAAAATTACATGCGGCTGTGCTAATATGGGACGTGTTTAAGCAACAACAATTGAGGGCTTATACATTTCCCTGTAATTAATGAGCAGCTGAGAGACTTGATAATGCAGGCGGAGCATCCTCTGTGGCAGGTGGTCACTCTAGTTCTTTGCACACATGCCTGGATGAGGTCATTACTGAGGTTTGAGCTTTTATTAGGATGCTCTATGACATGCAGAGGCTGGGTGGCTTTTTATTAACAAAGCAAGAGATGGAGAGGTTAGGATATGATCACTGCAAGAGAAATGAATCCCTGAAGAGTCAATTTGGAGGACTTTTAAGATTCACTTTTTCACTTGCGCTTCTTTCTTTCCCTAAGTGTCAGTTTCAAAACAATAGCAACTATGAGGATGAACTGTAAGAATGGCAGCTATATCAAGGGAGGATGAAAAAGTACCACATTTCTCAAAGGCAAGGGCAGGAATTGTTGTAACTAATGACAGCTTAGCTGTGCAGGACAGGAAAAACCATATTTAGAAGGTCTGTCATGAAGTCAGATATTGTCTTAAGCAAGACAGCCATATGTATAAGTCACTTTCTTAAAGTGAGTGGGAGAAACTAGATCAGTTCAACTGTGTTTATACTTTAGACTCACCTGGTAGGTTTTTAAAACTCCAGGTGCCCAGGCCACAAGTCATACCTATTAAACCAGCATCTGTGAGGTAGGATTCAAGCATCAGAGTTTTTTCCTCAAAGCACCCAGTACTTCCGAAGCCAATGAAGTTTGATAACTAGTGAACTACTTGACTTTTAGCACTGCTTTCCATTCTAAAGTCTTGACTCTATTTATCTCTTCTCCTGAGATTCCCTAAACGTATTAGAAAGGAAGCCAGTGAGAGGCAGTACCCACCTGTGAGCAGTATGGAGTTACTGGCTTCTGAGAAGCCCTCAGCTTCCATGAAAACCAGTCCCAGTGATGTGACTTGAGGTTTTTAGTTACATGCGTAGCTCAGCTATCTCAGACTTTGATAAGCACCAACATTGATTGTGCCACTAAGCTTGTCCTTTAAGGTAAATTCATCAAGTTTCACCAACTACAAATGAAATATAGGGGTGTTTGAGCTTTTGAGGAGCAAAGTCCAAGGCTATCTGTGTGAACTTTAAACTGTCTGGGAGATAGTACTTGGAATTGAAACTTTTTTTTTAAGTAAAGGAATGTGGCAGAGAAAAATCATGAAGGATAGACATTCCAAGCTGTACTATAAAAAGTTCCATATTTCCCTCTCACACAAATCAAATGGGTTTTTCCATCATTTTTGTAGGTAAGAATAAGTAAGTACTTATTCATGTTTTTAGCTCACATTTCCCCCCATGTGGCATCACAGTTGTATTCATTTGGCCTTTGACTTAAAATAATGCAATTCTAGTCATACTTCCTCTTTGGTGGAAGACTGCCAAGGGGAAATGTAAATACTTCAAGTCCCAGGGTCTGAGGAGAAGACAGAATCAGTGTGGGTGAATCATCATATGCAGTAAATTTATCTGAATCATGATTTTAAAAAGAAAGACCATTTTAAAACACTGTTGAAATTTCCAGTAATAAAAGAATAGGAAAAAATAGATCAAAACTACCTTGTTTATCTCTGGCTGGCCACAGTAGATTGACTGATTTCTCTGTGTCACTGGAATCATGGCGATATGCAGTGAGGAAATGACATTTTGACATGGTCCTAAGTTGTTGACTTTTCTTAGAGAAATTCAAGAATACTTTATAGTAAAAATCTAACTGCATGCTAATCACACTGGGGATAGCCAAGGATTGAGAAGACATAGCCCTTGCCTTCCTTTAAACAGCTAGTTGTCTTTAAAACAGCTAGTTGTCTTTAAAAAGATAAAACTTACACACATGAAGCAGAACTAATACAAAAGAATACTGATACATTAGCACTAAATGAGAGGGGTCAGCGCTCGCAGGCAGTTGGTATAGTATAGAAAAGCTTCAAAAAGGCTAGAACACCACAAAGAATAATGATATCTTATCATTTGCAAGTAAATGGATTGAACTGGAGACCACCATCTTAAGCAAAGTTAGCCAGGCTCAGAAGGCCAAAAATCATATGTTCTCCCTCATATGCAGACTTTAGAACTAAAACAAATGCAGTAATATTATTGGACATGGGTCACACGTTAAGGGGAGAAAGTGTACAGGAGGAATAGGGAAAAGTAGGAAACCCAAAACTTGAAAGTGTTTGATGTGTCCACTGTAGAGGAGCTAATACAGTAATCTTAAACTGACAGAGGTCACTGTAGGAAGGTAACCAGGAAGTAGTGAGGAAGTCTGGTAGAGACGAACCAATTCAGGTTGTAATACACATATACATGGAAGCAATGCTAGCAATCTGTCTGCATAGCTATCTTTATCTCAAACTAGCAAAAATGCTATGTCTTTCTTATTATCTCTTACAAAATTAGAGAAGAGGGCAGAACAGGTTCTGCCTGGAAGTGAGGGGGGTGGGGAGGAAAAGAAGGGGGCAGGGGGCAGGGGGGAGAGATGGTCCAAACAATATATACACATATGAATAAATGTATAAACAATTAAAAAAAAGAAGGCTAGAACAGAATAAGCTTGAAGGATGAGTAAGTTGGTCTTATAGAAAGAAATCTTTTACCCAAAGACAACACTTCTCCTTTATGTTGATTCCTGCCTACCAAGAAACTAAACACTGCCTCAAAAATTCTGATTGTTTCTTAATGGGAAGTTAGGAAGATATAAGAGTTGCAGTTTAATGTCATAAAGTTTCTTTCTCCAAAAGAAATCTGAACACTTCCTCTTGTCCAATAGTGTATGATTCTGAACCTAGCTCATGGTCTTAAATAATCCACTGAACTCTGGTTCTGGGGTGAATGTTGAAAAGGATCCTTTTCAGATCTAGAATCCCAACACTCTAGAAACCATAAGGTTAATTGCACTGATCTGATGTATCAGTCTAGAAGTGCAGGTTATACAGGCTGACGGGAAGCATTTGACACACAGACAATAATTTTGGAAATGCACCTCATTTTCTTTAGCACATGCTCCCTCCCAATTATATTTTGCATATTGTCTTATTCAAATGAGGCCTACATTCCCTTAAAACATGGTGCTAGAGGTAGGATTTTTTTTTTTAAGAAAATCAGGTAGTTTTTCATTTGAACCTAACAATAATATATTCTCAGTTTCTTTCATCATTTTAAAGCATTTTTCATGCAGTAGTACCATTCTTGCTAAGAAAGAAGAAAGGAGGAAGGAAGGAAGGAAAGAAAGAAGGGAGGGAGGGAGGGAGGGAGGGAGTAATTGGTGTAGTATAAGGAGGGAAGGAGAGAGGGAAGGAGAAATATAAAAAGAGGAAAAAAAGTCAGTAGATGCCTAGATGACTATGTTTTATAGACATGGAGATTTTAAGGTATAAAAAAAAAAGTAAGGAGGTATGCACAAGATCACACAACTAGTTGATGAGTTGGTATTAGAACCAGAACTAGAAGACAAATTTCCTAAACCTCATTCTCAGGGAGGTTTTCTACTTGATTGTATTGCTATATTTATCATCATCAACAATACTAAGGATATATTCTGCCTATAGGAATTATAGAACAGAAGAACCAGAAAGGATCTTAGATCTCACCCAGTCTAACACACTCCATTAAGCATTAAACTTGACGCCTAGCGAGAGTAAGATTTGCCCAGAACCAGTCACATGACTGTTTTGTGATTGCATGGAAAGTAAAGCCCAGCACTAGAAAACAGTAAAGGGAGTTGGTTGGGAGGAGGAGATTTGGGGTTATATTTTAAGTCTAGTCTTGACTCCTTCCCCTTACCAATCATTGCCAAGGACCTGGGGAAGAACCCCCGGTCCTTCTGAAAAGGGTTTCTGCTTGATTCCACAGCAATCCATCAATGAAGCCATACGGACATCGACCCTCCCCAGAAACAGCGGGGCAGGAGCCAGCGGCAGTGGCAGTGGAGAGAATGGCAGGGTTGTCAGCCATGACTTCCCCAAGTCCATGCAGTCAATTCCGTGCATGAGCCACAGTTCAGGGATGCCACTGGGAGCCACAGGATTGTAACTGGAGCAGACAGAAACCCCGTGGGGAGCAGACTCAGGCTCCCCCAGCCCATCCCAAACCCTTCAGTGCCAAAAACAACAATGAAATGCCACCCGCCACCAACCACAAGGACAATTCAACAGATTTTCCTAAAGAATTAAAAAAAAACATTTTGCTGTTCTTTTTCCTTTTTTGATGTTCTTTCACCTTTTTACGTTTGCTAAGTAAGGATGATAAATAACACTGTACTGCAATAAGGGGAGAATAATCCTGTCTAATGAAGTTTCTGTCTCTGAAAACAGAGTCACTTGGAACACTAATGAAGAAACTGAACTGTTTTCTTTTAATTCAGTTGTTAATGTGTCTTAGCGTGTGCAATTTTTTTTCTTACTAATACTTATGGTTTGCAGGTTTTGTTACGTTCCTTCCTTCTCCTCACTTCTCATTCCCAACCCCCTATCCATCCCTCTTCAGTTTTTAGATTGGAGGCTTAAGATTCATTCCACCTTACAAGCAAGGAAAGGAATAAAGCAACTCTCAAACTAACTCTTCATGGGGCTCTCCGTGTTAACTTCCACTTCTTGGCCCCAAGCCTTGGAGGGAGAAGATGTTGCTGGAGAATTGGGCTGCCTTCCCCAGGTGGAAACTGGACCACTCTTTAAGCACTGATTCAGTCAAGAATACATGTGAAAAACAACTCAAAATGGGAGGGTGATAGAGAGGGCAAGGGCCAAGGTGCAGTTGGAAGACTTGTGAAGTTGCTGCTGCTCAGAAAAAAAAAAAAAAAGCTTCCTTTGATGTGTGGAAGCCATTCCATTCCATGGGCCATGGGCGGTATGGTGCATTTCTTCAGTCAACCTCAGCACCGAGAAGTAGATTCTTCTCCTATGCTCAGGCTCAAAGGCAGTGTGAAGGCTAAAGGGCAATTGGCCTCCTGAACCAAGTAGAACCTAGAGAAGAGCTGACAGCTAGGGAGACGTCATCCATCTGACAGGAACCCCACTGTGGAGTAGACGCTCTCTGTGGAGCTTCTTTTATGAGGGGAAATGCTATTTAAGCTAAGTTCAAAAGAAAGGTGATGGAAGAATTTTGGAAATGGAAGCTTTGTCAAAGTCCACATGCAATACAGATGTCCACCACTGTGCCCTGTCCCAGGCTTGAGAGACCAAATATGCTGATGCAGAGAACTTGGGATCTTATATTAATATAAAATGTTGCTTTTAGCATGTGATGAGATAATGTTCTGTCATCTTTAGAAAGAAAGCCATCCAAGGTTGAATTATTTGAAGAAAGAAAGTGTGATTCATTAAGTTAATAATGATATTGGGGACCTTAAGATCACTAACTCTAACTTCAAACCTAAGGACAGTGACCTTCCCCTGGCTGAGATAGAAAGAGGCCATTGTATTCCAATGGGCAGAATCATTACACCCATGACTATGACTACCAAGCTGAAGTAAAGTAAGACTGGAGTAGTGACCAGGCTCATGGAGAGAAGCTCAGACTGACTGCAACTTGGGTTGGAAGTGGGAGTCCCTGTCATATAGCTTTCTTGGAGACCCCAACATTCCTTCTTGGTACAATTGGCTTCCATTTCTCCAACATCTACTCTCCTAGGTGCATGAATCAGTGAGTGCCACATGTCATAAGCTTTTATTGATAACTGTGTTTTGGCTTGTTCCCTTGTCCCCCTATGCTATCCAATCTTCTCTGCTAGGGGTTATCATTAGCAATTGACAAGCCAAAAATATTGGAGCCTGCCTAGGAGTAGATGCATTATGATTGGCTTTTTCAGTGGATTCTCTCAGTGAACACCCACTATCTCTATGTCTCTTTCATTCTCCTTTCATGGTCCATAGCAGAGAACCATTCCAAAATCAATTCTTCACCCTTTCGACTCAAGTGTTATTCAGTTTCTCATGTCTTAATGTGGGCATGGTATGCAAAGCAGCACCCTCAAGATGGATTATGACTTTTTATTACTGTCAGCTATGTCTCCCCACCCTCTGCCCCCAAACCAGACTTTTCTTAGCCCATAGCCTCTCACTGTAGAATCTGATGTGATCCACTATTAGGGGGTCTGCATTTCGGAAGAGTTGGAAATATTCCTCTATCATCAACATGCTTCAAAGACCTTTTGCCTTTGGTCTGGCAAGATGCTCTCCAGTCACTGAGCCTACCAGTAACATGATCTGATAGGGAAAGACTGAGACTGTCCATGCTAGGAAAGAAGATCTATATTATGCAGGGGTCCAAGACTCCAGCAGAAGATGCTATCCGTCAGTGGATGGGTGAAGGGAAAACAAAAGCAAGAAAAAAACTTGTATTATGTATTTTTACTACACTTTTCTTAAAAATAGAGCAATGGGAAACTCTGAAAGAGACTGACATTTTTCTCAACAGGAATCCATACTTAACAGTTCTGGCTTTCATTAAATTTTGCTGTTTGGTACCTGGGCTTTTTATTTAACATCTATATTTGTTTTAACTCTCTTGACAGATGTGTGAAAGGATTCTTGCTTGATCAATCACTAAATTTTTTTGGTTCCTGTTTTACTTTCAAATAGGCAGGGTTTTTTTTCTTTTAGTATTTGCATAAAATGAAAATATCACCGAGAATTAAATCACTGTGGATCCATTATCTACTTTTCATTTTTGTCCATTCCATTTTTGTGCCATTTCTGAAGCCAGGGCTGTAAAGATCATTATTTTCTTATTGCTTGGTCTAAGACTAGTAGGCTTTTGATGGTGAACATTGTGCCTAACTCACAAACAGCTCTCAAGTCTTTCAGTTAGAGTTATTCATCCAAATAGGATTAAAAATAAAAATACAAAGAGAGGTGTGTGGCATTCAGAGCTCACAGTAACAATCTCATCAAGAGCTGGGTTTTGACTTGGAGCTATCACAGTACATCTAGGAAACTGGTAGGCTCACAGGGACTGTCTCCCAAACACCCCCAAACTAGAGTCCAGGTATGTCCACAAAGTCACAGCAAAAACCAAATACAGATTGGGCTTATTAGTAGATAATCTTGGTCCTGTGACCCCATTTCTTGTAGAAAGCTTTTATTTTCCTTTAAGTAAAATGGACTTTCTATAAAACAGATTCCCATCTGTTGATACTTAGATATTGGTGATTAAGAACAGCATTTATTTTCTTTCCCAAGGAACTTTGCATATTTATAAGAGTCAAAAGTCTAAGACAAATAAAGGAAGCTTTAACAGTAGAAACTACTGTAACTGAAAAGGGATGGGAGCAGGTAGAGAAACTAGCAGGCTTGTGTGAAGCTCCAATCAGTTCACACCCACCTGCAGTCACCTGGCAGCACCTAGGGTGCTCCTGGGTAAAGAAGTGCTGAACACCAGCAGACAAGCAGAGCAAACTGACCCTGTTTGGGTAATGATGATAATTGCTATAATAGCACAGGCTATCCTGTATATTTTCATGACTATATTAAGCATATTTCATACCTTCTGTATCATGATGCTGGCCTTCTGAATAGGGGAATCTGAGACTTAAAGAAATTATAACTTGCTCACAATTGTGTGACAGAACCAGGATTTGCCTGAAAACAAAGACTTTATATCCCCAACTGTCCATCTCATTGCTAATCAGATCATGATGAGTGGTGGCCAAGAAAATGCCAGGTAAGTTCTTCTGTACTTACCTGAAAATAGATTGGTTAAAGCTATACCTGCCATCTCCTTCGGAAAGCCAGTCTATGGGGTATGAGATTGCAAATAGTGTAGATGGAGGAAGAGACCCACTTTTAGCATCTTTAAAGTAGAGCTAGGCTAGAAAGCAGCAAGCAAGTTAGGGGATTGAAGACCAGGTCCCACAAACAATAGTTGATTCTGTCTGGAGACAGATCTTCAGGTTTATCCATCATGGGGAGAAAGAAGCAAGATTTTTCTGTGTGGGCAAGTCCAGGGTCAATTCTGTAAGTTACAGGGTAACAGATTTAGGATCAAGTAATGACCAAAGTAACCCCATAGAAGAATTAAACTTGAAATTAAGACAAGTCCTTGTCAAGGAGGTGCTGTCTATGTGAGAGTTGAAGTATATATTCCCTGATTTTTCTTCTATCACATATTCCTAGAATTCACAAGACCATTACTTTGATGTTGTCTATATAGCAAGTAGAAGACAGTAAGGGGTAAAGAAGTCAAGGTCAGTCAGTGCTTTCTCTTAAATCTTTTACATACCCACTCTGCAGGTTATCTGGTCAATGACACTCTGATAGATACTAAGATGGGATCAGCAAGGCTCTGCACAGTGGGCATGAATAGCTTTCACTGAAATAATATAAAAACTTTTCTTAAATAAGAGACAAGGTGGTAGGCTTGTTCCTTACCAACTCTAATGTGCTCTCTATGAAAGAATTTCTATGAAGTTCTGTTCATTTCCTCATTTACAAAAAAGAAAAGTAGAATTCTTCAAGAAACTGCTTCCTCAAGGTCACCTAATAGATAGAGAAACAATAAAGGAAAGGGCAGTGAACTAGGGTTTACTATTTCTGCCATGTCCTCCCAGGTCTCCCTTTCAATATGTACAAGAAATGAACTGAACTACCCTGAGCCTCATTTTATTCATCAAAGAAATGAACATGTGAGGCCCTGGGTTCAATCCCCAGTACTACAAAACAAGGGACATCTTGTCTCCAAATATGCAGTGATTCTCAACCCTGAATGCACTGTAATTAACTAGAGAAATTTTATAAAGTCACCAGTGTTCAAGATGCATCTCTAGATTTAGCTGGTATGAGATGAAGTACGGGCCATATATGGTTTATTGTTGGGAGTGGTGGTGGTGGTGGTGGTTTAGGTTGTTTTGTTTTGAATTCCCAGGTGATTATAATGTCCAACCAAAGTGGAAACTGAAAGAAAGTGATTGAAAATTCCAAAGCACTATTTTAAGATTATTTGTTCATGGCTGGGCCAACACCAAAACCCCTGATGGAAACCCACCTTGTTGGTGTGCTTTCCCCTTCCTTTTCCTCCTTCCTTTTGCTTTTCCCTTCCTTTTGAAACTGTTGGAGCAAAGAAACTGGGTTTCTTGTGAAAGCACAAAGATGAAAAGCTGGCCAGTATTAGAACTCTAAACAGTATCTCATGACATTCTATCTTGAATTCCCATTAAGTAAGAGCCTGGACTGGACAAGACAGCCCAGGATATCAAATTTCCATGGTCCTGGCTTGGGAATGTATCTGTAGCTCAGTGGTAGTATGCTTGCTTAGCATGTGCAAGGCTGAATACAGTTCCCAGCATTACAAAACAATAGCAACAACAACAAAAAACATTCCATGGTCCTAAAGGATAAAATGCCATCATGTTCACCTGATACATGAAAAAGAAAAGACATACTC